CGAGTTTGCTACGTGGCCGCGTCCTCTTCGATCCACGTCGTTCCTCGTCAACCAGATAAACCACCGCGGGCGAAAATAAGTTACTCCGAAACGCAGGGACCGCGGGTTCTTGACCACTCCGATTCCGCTGACCAGCCGCTTGGCGTATTAATAGACGCCGGCGCGGAACGATCGTCAAACGACGCGACGTGTTTGCACTAATAACGTCGTAACGTTATACATACGTGCATCAGGCGAGAGGTGTATCGACAGAACCACGCGATCCTCGCGTTTATTTGAGTTAGGAGAGGTTAGCTGCACGGGTCGTTAAAGAACCAGCGCAAATATTCCACGGCTGTCATCCTTTGAACTGTTGTGGTCAGGACAGTGTCACGCAGCAGGGAAGCCCTCTAACAGCGCCCTCGTTTCGCGTTCCTAGCCCGTCTACAAACTAGGAACGCCATTTGTAATTTTATTAGGATCAAACTCGCGGAAATGTTAGTCTGTCTTGAATAATTCACTTCGGGGAAGTACAAATTGATTGAATTTATCGCGTGTTTCACGATAAATGTTCCTAGAATGAAATTCTAAGATGGGAGGTGATGGGGACAAAGATGACGAGGGCGGCCATCTTTGTAATCTGACGTTGCACAATAGATCGAGATCAACTCCTTACATACTATGCAGTTTCTAAATATATGGGATAAAACTTGCAGAAATTTTAGTCGATTTTGAATAATTCACCTCTCAGAAGACTAGATTAATCATATTTACTGTGTATTTTACGATAATTGCATGTTTAATTTAGTTCTTAGACGGGAGGTGGTGGAGCAAAGATAATGAGGGCGGCCATCTTTGTTTCTTCAAACTGTAACCCTTTGCACTCCATGATTTCTTCTTATTGATATAAATAATCAGCTAATATCAAATAGAATTTGTGTACGAGTGCAAAGGATTAAAAACTGTTGATTGTCGAGTGGTAAAATTTGGTTTCGTAGAAATAAAAATACTTGACAACTGACGTTTCAGCAGAGTATAAACGTCTCGTTAATTTACAAGCTTGGAGGAGCACTCGGTTCGGAGGTGGCTCTCGTCAGGAGAAATTGGCTATTTTTAGGGGGCCGCGTAAGAGCTAGTTCTTCCGTTAGCACGACGATAAGCCGCGACAACGACCGTCGCGTCATAACTTTCGACTTCTTGGAAAGCGCGTCGCCTATTATCCCGGGCTCGTAAGAACTAACCGCCTTCGCCGCGTTCCCTCGCGGATTCCTGGCGTGTTTCGCGAACCGTGATAGCCGCTCGAGCTCCTTGGAAGTCGCGATCGTGCTATCGAAGTCGCTTCGGAACGGTCAAAGTTCGAGTCTTTGGTCGGTGGGAATTCAAAAGATAAAAAAAACATTCTTCGCGGAGAACCTGTTTCTGTTTTAAAAGAGCCAGGAAACATTGTCGATGATAGAACTGTCGAGAATGTGTACTTCAAATGAGGTTTGATGAAAAATTGATATTGAGGTACAAATTGAGAGGCAAAAACAGAATTTTTTTATTGTTTTCACCTTAAAATCACCATCACTACATAGTGAAAATAGGGTTAAATCAGGCTTCGATGACGTAAATGAAAATATTTTAGCTAAATCTTAGGGGACTCCTGGTACCAGAGGACGCCATATTGTTTTCTCTCCTACATCAAATTGCGTGGTCCCAAACGAACCTCGATCGATAAGTATTGACCCAGCTAGTCCGTATTTTAGCTAAATATTAGGGGACTCCTAGAACTAGAGGACGCCATATTGTTTTTTCTCTCCTACATCAAATTGCGTGGTCCCAACGAATCTCGATCTATAAGTATTGACTCAGCTAGTCCGTATTTTAGCTAAATATTAGGGGACTCCTGGAACCAGAGGACGCCATATTGTTTTCTCTCCTACATCAAATTGCGTGGTCCCAACGAATCTCGATCGATAAGTATTGACCCAGCTAGTCCGTAGTCCGTAGAAATAAATAACAATCGGTCGGTGGAGACCTGTTTTTCAGCGTGTACGCGGTTCCGGTGTCCGGGAGGGTTGATCCGTTATGGAGGCTGGAGGACAGGGGCCCCCGGGGCAAGAATATCGACGACTCGAATGAAGTTCTTGCGCGTTGTTCACCGCCAGCGGGGCCGGGTCGTCCCGCGAGACGTAACATGCGCCATATTTTGCTCTCCGAACGAGAGCAGAGCGTTTAGCCTTTTTTCCTTCGGTCTCTCCGCGTATCGCAACCGGCTCCGCGAGCATCCCTCGAGCCGCGGCCACGTTTCGAATCGTCTCCGTTCTGCGGGTTTCTCGAGAATTCCTGTCCGCGTATCCGACGTTCTTGTCCTCGCTGTTGCAGTCGCCCCGTTCCAGCGTGGAATCCCTCGCCCAAATGACGATGTCACCGGTGCCCGTTGCTCCCGGCCGACCGTACAGCCGCGGACTTCTTCCTCCTCTTCTTCTGCCTTCGGTTCGTGCGGAACGAAAAGCGGCGGATGCATCGTCTGCCCGCAAACCAGCGTCGTACACGGGCGCGAGCAACCGTCCTTAACGGAATTATTGCCATTAAGGTCGTTGCATTCCCGAGAGGCCGTCGTGTACGCGCCCCGGCATCCTACCGACGCAGAACTAATGATCTTAATTAACGTTTCGTAACGAAGGTCGCTCTCGGACAATCCTCCATCCTGTCCTCCGCCCTCCTCGGCGGTTTCGTTACTCTTCTTTCGATTCTATTCTTCTTTACCCTCCGAGGAACTTTTTCGCGCGGGGATCTTGGTCCTCCGCGAGACAGACGCCGTACAATGGATCGAGCTTACGTCCTTGGATGCTGTGCAATTTTCGAAATGATACGATGAAACTTGTAGAAATTGTCTCTTTAGAATGATTCACTTCATAGAAGACTAGATTAATTAAATTTAATGTGTATTTCATCATATATGTTTGTTTAATGGAGTTCTTAAACGTGAGGTGGTGGGACAAAGATAATGAGGGGCGGCCATCTTTATGAGATAAAATATTTCAAATCATTTTGAAAAAATTATTTTTGGTTGCGGGGGTTAATTACTATTATTTTTGGTCAATAGACATACCCCTGAAATGTTACGCATTTTCGAGAAAAAAATTTGAATACCGGGACAAACTTTTGCGGCGAAAGTAACAAATCGTTCTGGAAAAATTATTTTCGACTGTGGGAATCAATTATAATCATTTTTGGTCAATAGACATACCCCCGAAATCCTAACCAATTTCGAGAAAAAAATTCCTTACTGGAAATATAATTTCAGGCCAGAAATGTCACTCTAAAATTTCTTGCGTATCTTTAAAACGTCATAACTTCTGAACGGATTGGACGATTTTAATGTTTAAAAAGGCAAACGACGCGTATTTTATTGTAGAATATGTAGAAATTTTAAAAATAATCAAAACGTTAATCCTTGACCTCGCAAAATGAGGAGAACCCCATAAAAATAGTCCAATTTTCAAACAGCCATAACTCCTACAATAGTGAATATATTCCAATGAAATTTATTTCTGTAATAGAGCTCATGAATACCTACAAAAAAGTATTAAACAACTTTTCTGTAGGGTGTCAAACAAAATTATTAAAAATGAAAAACGAATTTTTAAGAAAAATCGACAGGGGTTTCCCTGTTTGTTTACAAACTAAAATTGAAAAGTTTCAAACCATTCTGGAAAAATTATTTACGGTTGCGTGGGTTAATTACAATCATTTTTGGTCAATAGACAAACCCACAAAATCCTACGCACTTTCGAGAAAAAAATTGAGAAAGGTGAACAAATTTTTCGGCAAAATTAAAAAATTCCAAACGATTCTAAAAAAATTATTTCTGATTCCGGGGGTCGATTGCAATCATTATTGGTGAGTAGGTATACCCACGAAATCCTACGCACTATCGAGAAAAAAATTCAGAAAGGTGAACTAATTTTTCGACAAAATTAAAAAATTCCAAATGATTCTAAAAAAATTATTTCTGATTCCGGGGGTCGATTACAATCATTTTTGGTGGATACACATACCCCCAAAATCCTACGCGTTTTCGAGAAAAAAATTCCTTAGGGGAAGTACAAGACGTGACCAGAAATGATCCCAATCTTCAAACGACCATAACTCTTATAATAGTGACTGTATTCCATTAAAATTTATTTGTGAACTAGAGCTCATAGATGCCTACAAAAAAGTATAAAGTAACATTTACGTAGAGCGCGAAACAGATTTATTAAAAATCAAAAAGGGATTCCTATGAAAAATCGAGAGGGGGTTGGTGCAGACATTTTTCCCTTCCACGGTTTCGTTCCACTTCTTTCGCTTCTATTCTCCTTTCCTCCTCCCTCTGGAACTTTTTTACGCGTCCACGATCTTGGTCCTCCGGTTCGTTCGTCGTTCTTCTTGCCCCTTGTTCTTCCCTGGTCCCGAAGGAGAGAACTCGAGGGATTGCTGGCCTCGGTTCCCTTAGATTCGTTTCTCTTTTTGCTCCCTTCCACCGAACAGTTTCTTTCGTTCGTTCGGTCTGACCGTTTCTGGCTAGTTCTTTGCTGAGTAGCCACGAGTACAATGACTCGCGGATTTAATTATCGTAATGGCGTCCCTTGTCCTCGGATCGCGACCCCCTCGGAAAAACGGTCCCTCGGTGTACAGGATGCCTCAGAATTTTAGGTTAGATACCCACAGGCTACTGGAAATGGCTGCAAGAAATTCCAAAATGGTCGATACAGTAGTTACATAAAAATTTATGGGGGTCATAGATACTCAGATTTTCAGGTTGCAAGCCTACTTTTGTAATTATTAAACTTCATTTTTCATAAATTAAGACTCATATAACAATTTTAAATATTGCAACATCCACACTTGCACTTAGATTTCAATTTTATTTAGTACAAATTTCAATTTTTAACGATTGTTTGTCGATTCCATCAGCTTGTAGAGGTTATGGTCCTCACTTTGAGACTCTGAGGATCGAAAATGGCGCGATGCTGACTTCCAGTTTGTTCCAGGACCGTTGGAAATCAGGTGGTGATGGACCCCATGCTAATTTGCAAGAAAACCAGGAGACTGAAGGGCAAGATGGCGGACATTTGCCGCAAGGAGCCCTCTCTGCTCAAGGAAATCGCGAGGGGCGTCCAAGTGGGGACCAGAGAGTGTCAGTATCAGTTCCGGAACCGGAGGTGGAACTGCACCACGATCAGAAGATCCCTCAGGAAGATCCTACTGCGGGGTGAGTGGCCTAACCTCAAACAAAAACCATCATTCTCCAAGCCTTTGTTGCTCGATCGATCCGCCATCTTGAATCACCACACTTTACGAGTTCTGATCGTTCTAAAAACTTATTTTCATCAAAAAAGTCTCCATAGAATTCCCCGTTATAAAAACAAACACGAATACCATCAATTTTCGCCATTAATTCGAATAACAAAGGCGTTGGAGCGGTGAGAATGAGATGAAAACACGATTCGAGTCGAAACGAATCGATAGAATGCACACTGAGGGCCGATATTAGGCGAACCGGATGTCGATTACACACTTCCTTTGAAGCCCCCCAGGTGGATCAAACGCCAATCGTACGCGAGAAGTCCTTTTCTCGCCTTGACATTGACCACTCTATTCGTGACGGATCGAATCGATCGTCGATCGAAGGGGGACTCATTATTTTCAAATTAACCTCGATGAGGTCGGGACCGAGGGAAAGTCTCGGAGCGGCCCAAGGGACGTTTTTTGCCGGACGTTGTTGCGCAACAGCCCCGTCCCATTAATCACAGAAATTGTTTGCGTACGCGTCGAGATGGCCGACGAACGGTGAACGCCGTTCCGAAATCCATAGGCGGCGCAGGTCGCGTTTTTTTAACGCTTTTTTTTTTTCCACCGCGATTCGTGCGGAAGGCGTTCCCTTTCGCAAAGCGTTCTTTAATTAACGCGGCCGGACTTTATGGGCCAACCTTACACGCACGAGAGATCGCAACATACTGCAAAACTTACGAAAATAGACCTGGTCGAGTTAAAGGGTTGCGTCATCTTTCACGATTAATTACAAATGGCTTCTATGAGTTGGGATATTTATCATTGAAATGGTAATATTGTTTGGTTGTGTCAACCATTTTATTAGTAATATTCTTTGTTTTTGAGCATCATTCTTTCTATTAGTAATATTCTTTGTTTGTAAGAGGCAGGGTAAATACTAGAAGTCTTAGGTAAATGAGGTGATCAATAGTGTTCTTTAGTTTCATATGACTTTTTTCATTTGCTTTATCATTGAGATGGTAATATTGTTAGGTTGTGTCAACCATTTTATTAGTAATATTCTTTGTTTTTGAGCATCTTTCTTTCTATTAGTAATATTCTTTGTTTGTAAGTGGGAGGGTAAATACTAGAAGTCTTAGGTAAATGAGGTAAAGAATAGTGTTCTTTAGTTTCATATGACTTTTTTCATTTGCTTTATCATTGATATGGTAATATTGTTTGGTTGTGTCAACCATTTTATTAGTAATATTCTTTGTCTTTGAGCATCATTCTTTCTATTAGTAATATTCTTTGTTTGTAAGTGGCAGGGTAAATACTAGAAGTCTTAGGTAAATGAGGTGATCAATAGTGTTCTTTAGTTTCATATGACTTTTTTCATTTGCTTTATCATTGAGATGGTAATATTGTTTGGTTGTGTCAACCATTTTATTAGTAATATTCTTTGTCTTTGAGCATCATTCTTTCTATTAGTAATATTCTTTGTTTGTAAGTGGCAGGGTAAATACTAGAAGTCTCAGGTAAATGAGGTAAACAAAAGTGTTCTTTAGTTTCATATGACTTTTTTCATTTGCTTTATCATTGAGATGGTAATATTGTTAGGTTGTGTCAACCATTTTATTAGTAATATTCTTTGTCTTTGAGCATCATTCTTTCTATTAGTAATATTCTTTGTTTGTAAGTGGCAGGGTAAATACTAGAAGTCTCAGGTAAATGAGGTGAACAAAAGTGTTCTTTAGTTTCATATGACTTTTTTCATTTGCTTTATCATTGAAATGGTAATATTGTTTGGTTGTGTCAACCATTTTATTAGTAATATTCTTTGTCTTTGAGCATCATTCTTTCTATTAGTAATATTCTTTGTTTGTAAGTGGCAGGTTAAATACTTGAAGTCTCAGGTAAATGAGGTGAACAATAGTGTTCTTTAGTTTCATATGACTTGTTTCATTTGCTTTTCAATTGTTTAGAGTCTCTAAATAGTGTTCTTTAGTTCCATATAACTTTTTTCATTTGCTTTCCAATTGTTTACAGTCTCTAAAAGTCTCAGTCAAATGAGGTAAACAATAGTGTTCTTTAGTTTCATATGACTTCTTTCATTTGCTTTTCAATTCTTTAGAGTCTCCTTAAGTCTAAGGCAAATGAGGTAAAAAATAGTGTTCTTTAGTTTCATATGACTCTTTTCATTTGCTTTTCAACTGTTTACAGTCTCTAAATAGTGTTGTTTAGTTTCAAATGACTTTTTTCATTTGCTTTTTAACTGTTTACAGTCTCTAAAAGTCTCAGTCAAATGAGGTAAACAATAGTGTTCTTTAGTATCATATGACTTGTTTCATTTGCTTTTCAATTGTTTAGAGTCTCTAAATAGTGTTCTTTAGTTCCATATAACTTTTTACATTTGATTTTCAACTGTTTACAGTCTCCAAAAGTCTGAGGTGAATGAAGTAAACAATAGTGTTCTTTAGTTTCATATGACTTCTTTCATTTGCTTTTCAATTCTTTAGAGTCTCTAAAAGTCTAAGGCAAATGAGGTAAAAAATAGTGTTCTTTAGTTTCATATGACTTTTTTCATTTGATTTTCAACTGTTCACAGTCTCTAAAAGTCTCAGTCAAATGAGGTAAACAATAGTGTTCTTTAGTATCATATGACTTTTTTCATTTGATTTTCAACTGTTTACAGTCTCCAAAAGTCTCAGGCAAATGAGGTAAACAATAGTGTTCCACACTTTCATACAATTTTTTTATTTACTTTTCAAATATTTCTACGCAAACGAGATTGCACAAAAGAGGAGTAGCAATTGTTGCAGTGACCTGATGACATTTAGGTAACCTTAATACAAATAAGAGTAGTAATTATCAAATTTTTTCCCCCAATAAGTGAAGTTGCCTATGAAGGGATAAGGTAAACAATAGTATTCCACACTTTCATACAATTTTTTTATTTACTTTTCAAATATTTCTACGCAAACGAGATTGCACAAAAGAGGAGTAGGAATTGTTGCAGTGACCTGATGACATTTAGGTAACCTTAATACAAATAAGAGTAGTAATTATCAAATTTTTTCCCCCAATAAGTGAAGTTGCCTATGAAGGGATAAGGTAAACAATAGTGTTCCAATTCTTTTATTTACTTTTCAACTGTTTCTACGCAAATGAGACTGCACCAAAGAGGAGTAGCAATTGTTGCAGTGGCCCAATGAGCACTCGAGGCGCCTGTAAGCGGTTGTGGAGGTAAACGGTGAACAAATTGAACGTCGTGGCCCGTAGGAAAAGATTCTCACGCGGTTGGGTTAGCTCCACGTCGTGAGGAGACGAGAGGAGAGCGAACCTGTCCGCGTGGCTCCGCTTAGTTACCCGTCCGATGTATTAATTCCGGGTGATCGAGCACGACAACTAAATCGAAGACAGCGTGTCCAATAGGCCGAACCGCTCTCTAGGTTCCGCTATCAGATCGGTGCCTTTTGGTAGCCTGACAGATTGACACTGTCCGTCGGATATTAGTGGCAATATGTTCCCTTAATTAAAGGCTTCATTGCCGTTGGCGAGTCGCGTCCTCTGCGCCGGAATCGTCCCGTTTTTCGTCCTTCTGCCTTCTTCTTCTGCTCGTTCGGTTCGCCCCGCGATCGTGAGATTACCATCGATCCTGTCGATCCGTGATTCGAGAATATACGGACGCGTGGATTCCACCCTGGACGATCGATGATCGAATTATATCCGACACTGCCGGCGATGCCTGACGATCGGCGTTCGCCCGCTCAAAGATTCCAGAGATACGCGGCGCTCTGTATTATTTCACGACTCGACGGGTTAATTAACCCTTAGACGAACGCTGAAGCTTATTTTACGCGAAGCAGGACCTTGTCAAATTTTTAATTTTATCACGTCGACTCGAAGATGTTCCACAAATTATTAAGAGAACAAATATTTGATGATTTAAAGTATTTTTAGTGAAACTTATATTGATGGTAAACTGGGGGGAAAAATATTGTGTTCATTTTCAAAGTTCTCTTTCAAAATTTAAATTTTTGTTAATTTGCGGCGGTTTAAAATAGTGTATAAATTAATTTTTATAGTCTAAAGTCGGCCATTTTGTTATTGTATATTTTGTTTTGTTGAAATTGTTCGAAATTAGGTTAGGGTTATTTGATCCAATTCAATTATAATATGTATTCTTCTTTGAATTGCTATTATACAAACATAACCTCACATAATTAAGAAATTCAACCTTCTATGAAAGCAATAGACTATAAACTCCAATTTGGGACTTAATAATCATCTTTAGCCAACAATTTTCATTCATGAAAACCAGAAATAAAAATAAAATCATCTGGGTTAGAATCATTCCCATATATTCTTTCCTAAAATTACTTCCCAAACTTTAGTTTCTGTTAATTTGTACTGATTTAAAATACTGTATCACCCAATATACTGTCCACCATTTTGTTATTATAAATCTTGTTGTGTTAAAATTGTTTGAAACCAGCTCAGATATATTTGTTCACTAACAAGAACCCCTACTCCATTTTGAGCTTCTCTTACACAAACATAACCTCACATAATTACCCAACCCAACCTTCCACAAAAATAGTAGCCCATAAACTTCAATTTGACATTTAATAATCATCTTTTGCCAACAATTTTCATTCATGAAAGCAAGAAATAAAAGGTCTGTTGGTTTGTAGCCATTTTCTGTGCAACAGCTCAATAGAATCTGCTCCTTTTGGAGAACCACTGGGTCGATGCAGAGGAACAGGCACTCATTGGACCGTCGAGGGCCCAATTTGCCTTCCACCTGGCACTTACGAGCCCCGGCTCAACCCCATAAAAACGATACCGCACCGTAAAGACGACAAAGTCCGATTATATTGTGCTCCATCGAGGAATCGTAAACGTTCCGGGCCGGCGGGCCGCGTAACGAGCCTCCATCGCTAATGTAAGCACCCGCCATGTCGTGTTTGCGCTAAACTCCGTTATTTTGCAACACTG